TAATAAATAATTTGTATACTACTCTCCAATTCACTCTTTGATTCTGAAAATACCTCTGTGATGGTACCAAGCATTTATCACTAGACTTCGTTAGAGACCGAAGAACTGCTTAGAGTCTTTCAGTATTGCCCCCAAGGTCACCCACCTAATAAATGATGATGCCAGGACTAGTTCTGGTTTTCTTTTTTATTTATTTTTTAAATAAATTGTGTAATCCTTTTTTAAAAAAATATTTTTTTCTTTATTGATTTCAGAGAGAGAGAAAGGGAGAAGGTGAGAGAGATGAAACATACATGAGAGAGAACATTGATTGGCCGCCTCCTGCATACCACCCACTGGGGATTGGGCCCACAACCTGGGCATGTGCCCTGACTGGGAATCGAACCAACGACCTCTTGGTGCATGGGTCGATGCCCAACCACTGAGTCACACTGGCCCGGCTGTTTTTCTTTTTTAAACTCATAGCATCATTCTTTCCATATATTGTGAAGCCTGTGTCTTAACTTGGGTCAAGGTTTATGGAAGGCATAAAGGATGAGAGGAGGGAGGGCCCCCAAACTGGACCTTCATTGGTGTTTTGCTGAGTGGTATTTTGGTAAATGAAAGAAGTTAAGGTTCAACCCAGCCAACCCCCCAGCACGTGCATAGTGTGTAATAGATGAGGAGGGAGAGGAGAAAAGTAGCCAACTTGGCTCAGCAGCCAGCCACATTCTGGCAAGTCCACTTACCAGAAAGCAGACTATGCTAGTTTAGTTCCCAGTTGCATACAAATTATGCATTTGCCCAGTGAGGCTGCTGTTTGCAGGCTGCTAAATGTGTCACAGAAAAATTTTGCTAGAGTGGCATTATTGGGGCTTTATGGCCTCCAGATGTGGGTGAGCCATCTTGGGCCCTGAACAGCAGAGTGCGTAGGGAAGCAGGAATGGTATGAATTATTCTCTCCCTTTACTCGGGCAGTCCTTGCCACATAGCTCAAGTGTCAATACAGCATCAATGTCTTATTGATGGCATTAATTTTACTGTATGTGTCGAGTTTCCACTGTTAAGGCATTAGATTTGAGATAAACAGAAGCTGAGTTTCTTTTACCTCCTAAAGAGTTTTGCTGGTACCTAGCTATTCTTTAGTGTCTTTATGCAAGTATAATAATTGCTGATTTATATATGTAGGCATGTAGGATTTCTATAAGCTCCTGTGGCCCACATATCTGGCCTAGCATGTGGCCTCTATCACTGGGATCCAGGTTTTTAACAAGTGGTTAAAAGTATGGGCCTGGTGGTCAGAAAGCTGAGTTGAGGGTTGGGGGCTAGGAACGAACACTCAGACCCAGGAAATCCAGTCCCACCACCTGTATCAGAACCTCGGAGAGCTCCAGGTAGCCAGATGCTGGTAGCTGGAGGCGGGAGTTACTCCAGTGCCAAGTCCACCCTCCTAAGCAGCAAAGAGCTGTGTGTGTGTGTGTGTGTATATGATAAGGGACTTCAAGGATTTGGGCCTCAGTACTTGGGCATATGGATAAAGCAGTACATTGCATTCTTTAGGCGTGGAGCTATGTGAAGATTCCCACTGGAGGCAGAGGTGGGGGTGATTTTGAGTCTCCTTGCTATAGCCATGACACCAGTTTTTCCTGAGAGCTGAGGTGTAGCAGGAGAGCTCTGCTGTAGTAAACGTTGGCATACAAGTATCTGTTTGAGCCTCTGCTTCAATTCTTTGGGGGCATATACCTAGGAGTGGAATTTCTTGGTCATATGGTAGTTCTGTTTTCCACAGTTGCTGCACCATTTTACATTCCCACCAGCCATGTACAAGGGTTCCAATTCTCAATTCTCCACATCCTCATTCACACTTGTTTTCCTTTTTTTTTTTTTTTAATCCTCATCCGAGGACATTTTTCCATTTTTTGTACAGACAGAGTGGGAGGGAGAGAGAGGAAGAGAGAGAGAGGGAAACATCGATGTGAAAGGGACACATCGAGTGGCTGCCACCCACATGACCAACCAGGGCCGGGGACAAACTGCAACCGAAGTACGTGCCCTTAGCGGGAACCGAACCCGGGTCTCTCCGGACCGCAGGTGGATGCTCTAACCGCTGAGCCAAACCGGCCAGGGCTGTTTTCCTTTTTATAAAAAATTCTAGCCATCTTAGTGGGTACGAAGGGGTATCTCATTATGATTTTGATTTGCATTTCCCTAATGATTAATAGTGTTGAGCATCTAGTCATGAGATTATTTGCCATTTGTATATCTTCTGTGGAGAAATATCTATTCAAGTTCTTTGCCTGGTGTTTATGTTTCTAAGGCAGTATGAGAGGAATGGAGAGAAAGAGAGAGATTGAGGAAGTAGATAGAGCCCAGCTGGGGGACTGGTTAAATATGGGGGTTAACACCGAGTCTTCCAGCCTGGGTAAGTGGGTAGATGATGGACTATCAAGCAAGATAACTCCCTCTCTCCCAGGGAAGGGGTAGGATGTAAGGTAGATGTTGGGGTTGAGTGTGGCTGTGTTAAGCCTGGTGTACTTGGGTGTTGTGCAGGCAGAAAGCCTGCAGGATATACTGCTACACCCTTGTATCTGATAGGTTTCTCCAGAAAAATACAGGGCACATTAAAAGTTTTGTCTCCTCTCTGCTTCCATTGAAAAATCAACATGAAAAAATTGGTCATCATTAGGCTTCTGTATCTGGCAGATGTAAATAATCATCGTGAGGACAAAGGAATCTGGGATTTATGAACTAACCCCTCTCCTGGTGCTGGTTTCTCTGCCTTTAAACACCTTCTTGATCAGATCAGTCCTTCCAAATGCTTGGGGTGTGAGCATTCTTAACAGCCATGGCTTCTGGCTCTGGCTGGTTTGGCTCAGCGGTTAAAGCATTGGCCTGCGGTCCAGAAAGATCCGGGTTTGGTTCCCGCTAAGGGCATGTACCTAGGTTGCAGTTTGTCCCCAGCCCTGGTTGGGTTGTGCGGGTGGCAGCCACTCGATGTGTCCCTTTTACGTCAATGTTTCTCTCTCTCTCTCTCCCTCCCTCCCTCCCTCCCTCTCGCTCCCTCCCACTCTATCTAAACAAAACAAAAAAAAAAGGAAAAATGTCCTCGGGTGAGGATAAGAAAAACCAAACCAAACCAAACTAAACTAAACAAAACAAAACAAAAAAACAACCATGGCTTTTGAAGCTGTCTTCAGTTATCACCCCAGTCTATCAAACATTTGCCCCTCTTTTACCCTTCCCCAAGTGCGTGCCATTAGCTGTTAGTGCTAAGCAACTGCTTGCAATGTCGCCCATGACCCACTGAATTTCTCTAAATTATTCCTCTGCAACATTGCATGCTACATCACTGTGTTAAGGGGTGTCCAGTCATATCCACACTGCAATGGAAAGTGAGATTTGAGCAACTGTTCTACCCCGAAAGAACCAGCTGTTGGGGAATGAGCCTCCATGGTGGCTTGTTTTCTTTACCGCTAGAGCCATAGTCTGGCAGCCACCACTAAGACAGCATCCCTTCATGTGGCTCAGGTGGGCAATGTTTGCAGATTGTCCCCTGATGCCATCTGCCTGTGAAGCTGCAGAAACCCTGGGCAACTGCTGTTTTAGCAGGTGCCGGGGTTGCTGAGGTGGGAGTCCATGTACATATACACATGTGCACACAGCTTTGTGCTATGCCGGCCTGGGGTGCCAGCTGAAGCTCTCAACCCAGCAAAGCGCCAGCCGCAGTTGCTGGTTTCCGGTGGGGCCCTGGTGAGGGAGGGAGAGAGGGAGGGAAGGAGGACGAGGCTGTTGTGAACCAGCTCAGGACACATGCCCAGGTTGTGGGCCCAATTCCCAGTGGGGGGCATGCAGGAGGCAGCCAATCGACGTTCTCTCTCATCCATGTTTCTAGCTCTCTTTCCCTCTCCCTTCCTCTCTCTCTCAAATCAATAAAGGGGGGAAAAACATAAAAAAGCACATGTACCTTTAAAAAAAAGTAGTCCTTCCCTATTTCTTGCCCCTTGCTCTTTCTAAAGAACACCTCTCATCCTTGAGCCCTTCCTTCCACTCAGCCATGCTTTGGGTCTAGCCCCTCAGCTTTCTTTTTCATGGAATCATTGTGTTCATGGGTTCATACAAGCCCAGAAACCCCCTGCGCCAGAGCTGCAGTTTGTGAGTTACTATTATTTTAGGCTGTTAATGCTTTTGAAATTAATTATGTAAATTATTAAAGTAATTTGACATCATTGCATCAGCCATCAGGTTTTAAAAATCCACGTCTTAATGGAGCTTTGATACGAGACCTCCTAGAGCAAACTTTTTCTGTAAAGGGCTCAGTATTTTAGGCTTTGATCTCTCTTCCAACTACTCAACTCTGCTGCGTAGCATCAAAGCAGCCATAGAAAATACTTAAACAAATGAAGGTGGTTTTGTTGTAATGAAATTCTATTTATAAAAACAGGTGGCAGGCTGTAGTTTGCTAACCCCTGGCCTAGAATGACAGTCTTTATTTCAGCTTATTATTCTTATATTTTTCTTTGTCAAGAGTTAGAAAGCCAGAGGAACTTGATCACTGTAAATCAACTTAAATCATCTTTTGGGTTTAGCACAATTGTGAGCACAGTGGTGATACGGGAATCTACTTCTCTAAACCCCTGTTGGGAAGAATATAAAGCAGAAGGCTTTTAAGGATGATTCTGCTTGGCCAAAGCTTGTCATTGTTCAAAAAGTAGAACAGGCTGTCACTTACAGGCTGTGTGGTGACCTTTATGTATCTCTTATTCTCTTTATGGTCACTTGGAATGGCCATAGTCACATAAGGTCACATCACCATTATTTCCTTTTATAGCACCAGACACTTCTCTAATAAACTTAAGGAGAAACACTACAAAAATATAGAAAATGGTGTTTTAAAAACAGCATGTTATACTGAGTTGAGGTCGTTATCCTTGATTTTCAGGAAACTTAAGTAAAAGCTAGTCAAAGAGGCATTTTAAAAATTTTAAACTTCAATCTTGTTTTCATTTCATGTATCTTCACAGGAAATAAAGAAAGAGATGAAGAAAGACCCTCTCTCCAGCAAAGCTCCAGAAAAGCCCATGCACGAAGTGTCCAGCGGAAATGCTTTGCTGTCTTCTGAAACAATTCTGCGGACCAATAAGAGAGGTATGGAGAAGAAGAAAGAACCCCTTCCCCACACACAAACCCAAACTAGAGACCTCTGGGTGAACTGTGTCAAATTTTAAACTGCTCAAAAATCGACTGGCATTTGCCCTTTTTGTTTTTGGTGGGTTTTTTTTACTATACATTCTGGACACACACACACACACACACGTGACAAGTAATGATACAATAGCTATAGTAAGGGAACTGATAATAGTTTTTTGACAGTGGGAAAGTAGACTAAATTCGTAAGTGATGATTTTTCTAGGACTTGAACTTTTGCTTTCATATCTGGTTTTATGGATGGAAGGTGACTTTAGAGAATGCTATGGTACAGGCTGAGCTGCCCATGTCTCGCCATGCTCTCTTTTGAATTTGGGGCCAGGCTTTATCAGGATCTTTCTCTCTCTAGCCACTGGGCTTCTGAACACACACCTTGTCTCTGTCAGTTCAGAAGGCAGTTCGTGCAAAGACAGAGCTCATCTATCCATCCAACCAGGACGCCTTGAACCATCTTGTTTCCCTCAAGGCAGATTTGTAGGTATCAGCTTGTTGGAGTTTTCTTTTCTCCCATATCCCCCCTTTGCGACATTGTTGTTTGAAATGATGGGAGATGGACTATAAGACAGCAGAGAGGACTCAACTCAATTTAAGATCCTGGTCACACTAGACTCCCTGGGTTTTTTCTGACCCTGTCCTCATGGTAGATCAACCAGGGCGACACCAAGCCTGCCCACGGTAGGTTGGCGTTCAGCTGCAAGCTTTTCACGGGCTTATTACTTCCTTAAAGAGAAATATAGAGCTGTTCAAAAGTAGCAGCAGGAAATGTATTAGCAAAGAGTTCCATTTAAAAAAAAGAAGAAGAAGAAGGCAAGTTTACATAATCACAGGGAAGAACAGCTAATCTTTCATAAAATTTAGACAGCATAAGAATTTGTCCAATAAACTGTCCATTGATCATAGTGCTTGAGACATTAGCTTTGTGTCTCTCTTCCTTCCTGCTTCTTCCTCTACCCCCTCCAGCTGCCCTGGGTTACATTTCCTTTTTTTTTTTTTTTGAATTACTCAGATTAAATATTGGCTGTAGGCCCACACTGGTTAGCAGCTACAGGATCCTTCTCCCTTTCTCCCTTTCTCTCTCTCTCTCTTTCTCTCTCCTCTCTCTCTCCCTCCCTTCCTTTCACATCCTACCAATGCAGGGGATTTCCCAGGTTAAGAATTAAGCATGTTTAGTTGTAAAACTGTGGTGGTTCCCAAAAGTGTCTCCAATGTTCTTGTAAATAAGTTCCAGAACAACTGAGGCCGATCTGCCTTAATCGGATTTGGAGAGCTAGAGCTCAGTGAGTTTTTGTACATGTCTTCAAACCTTCCCTGCTGACCTGAGCCGCCCCCGCCCCGCCCTTCCTCCTGATGCCTCTGGGGGCAGTGGGCCCAGGAACTGCATACACACTGATCAGCGGCAAGGCCTCTCTGCTAGCCTTGTTTTTGGAAAGTAAATAAGATAATTAAAGTAATTAATTGAATTAACAAGATAAGGAATTCATTAAGGAATTAGGTAATTATCTGGATGAGTTTGGTAAAAATATCTGAGAACTTTAAATCAACAGAGGAATCAAAGTTTTCAGATAATTGTCTCTTTACAACTAAAAAATCTAACCTTTGAGGTCCCCTATGAAATTTTTCATTAACCAAAAAAATGGCATTAGAACGGTGTGGCTTACTATGTTCCCTTTTGAAGCCTTCACTTTAGGCCTGCAGCCTGATTCAGGCCAACCTTTCACACTTAGGTATTTTTTATTTATTTATTTATTTTTTAAAATCCTCACCCGAGGACATTTTTCCACTTTTTGTTCAGAAAGAGTGGGAGGGAGAGAGAGGAAGAGAGAGAGAGAGAAACATCGATGTGAAGGGACACATCGAGTGGCTGCCACCCTCACGACCAACCTGGGCCGGGGACAAACTGCAACCGAGGTACGTGCCCTTAGCGGGAACCGAACCCGGGTCTCTCTGTACTGCAGGCCGACGCTCCAACCGCTGAGCCAAACCGGCCAGGGCACACTTAGGTATTTTTTTTAAAAATATGTTTTCATTGACTTTTTTAGAGAGGTGGAGAGAGAAACATCAATTGGCTGCCTCCTGCACGCCCCCTAGTGGGGATCAAGCCCACAACCCGGGCATGTGCCCTGACTGGGAATCGAACTGGGACCTCTCAGTCCATGGGATGAAGCTCAAACCTACAAAGCCACACTGGCCGGGCATACACTTAGGTATTTTATATAATGAACCTGCCAGTGAGTGGCTCTGAGACCTTAGCACATGGGAGCCTTCTGTAAATATGAAACACTTAGCAAACCATCTTCATTCTGTCCCAGGCTTCACACTGACCCCCAGTCACCTGGGTACAACATACATTTCCAGTTGAAGGGAGCCATTGTATACCCAGACAGGGCTGTCTTCGGCCCTGCCCCCACCCGGCAAGACTACCAGGATCCTACTACTCCTTATACTGAACAGCGGGCGATTGATTGGCCTTGTCAGGCCAGATAAATAGTTCATTGTGCTGAGCTCAAAAGCTATATTTTTTTCCCACCCTAAATCAATGAAAAACCACTTTTTTTTTTTCTTAAAACAAGGATCAGAGGCTAAATCTGTGAGATGATTCTAGTTACTTGGAAACACTTCCGTCTAACCACTTTTTCAAGTTTTAATGAGTTATTGTAAATGACCAACATCTCCTCCTTCCCTTTGTTTCCATCAAGCTTTGTCCCTAGAAATCATATGGATGTTTTTGTCTATTGCTGTTCTTATAGAGGGAAGTTGCTTTCAGAGTTTAGTAACAGCTAGCCTTGATTTTTTACAGTATATGATTTCACCCTGTGAGGACTTAATAGAGTTAACACAAGTTCTTTTTCTTTATCAAAGATGAGATTACTGTTTACTTTATATGGGTCTTATCATTTGATATAGGCTTAGCATTAATTTAATAAAGAAAGATTGAAGTCTATTTCTATAGTGAGTTTGAAACTGAACCACTCCACTGGGTCTTGAACTTGAGGTAGACTTAGCTGAAGAAGTTTGCCCAATTGTGTCCAGCAGTTTTTGCATTTGGGGACGTGCCTCACTGTGCGATGGTGGCGAATGGGTTGCAGTGCCTCACAGTGTGGGATGAGCTCGCCCTCCCAAGGCACCTGCATAAGGTCAAAAGATACCCTACATTTGAAGAAACCTATTCATAGCCTTGAGAAAGGCCAGGATCGTGGAAACATCATTTTGAGGACTGATTAGTTTCAGTTTTCAGCTTTAACCTTTGCAGATTTCTGCAGAGCTGATTTAAGGAGGTACTGGAATGACTCCATGGGCTTTTCATTTGAGAAAAAGATGTGACTGAAACTGAGAGAGAGAGAGAGAGAGAGAGAGAGAGAGAGAGAGAGAGAGAGAGAGAGAGCATGTCCTCCAGATGGCTTGGCAGTTGTCAGCTATACATGCCAGGCATTAGGACTGTAAGGATAGTTGTATCTGCTCCATCCCTGGCCACTTCTCTGGGCTTTACCTGAGTCACAGCGAAGGAGCTTCCTGTTTAAAATAAGCCTTTCCCAAGGAGTAAGAAGTCATTTTTCATTTCAACTTGTAGCATGGCTGTTGTATACCCTAAAGTTATCCCAGACTCAGAATGTTGACAAATTGCAGCTAGAAAATCTGAAAACTTTTCTTGGAGCCAAATATTCTCATGAACCAGACTGAAAAAGGTTGTCTGTTTCTTTCTGAGAGTGATTTATTATTTTGTTTCTTCTATCATTAAAACCATATAGGAGAACGACGGGCTCTCCTAAGTTGGAATGTTGCTATATGGAGGAGTTTTATAAGAAACAAACAACCATTCAAACCTCGAGTTTAAGAGCCAAATTGAACAAATGGATATTTTAACAGTTAACAGCAAATATGCTAAATAATACTTGAAAATGAGCAAGTAGGAGTTTGTCCATTTGAATATGGGTTCTTTTCTACTTGAATTAAAATGAAATAAGAAATCATTTGGTTTCACCCTTAGACAGATTTCTGGACCCAATTTATCCATGTAGTAGATTAAGTCCCCAGGCTGTAATCAGTACCCTGTTGGCCTATGTAAGGACCAGCTTCTTTCTCGTGGCTCTAGTTTCCCAGTTTTTGCTTTGTTATCAGCCCCCATGGGGAAGCTGCCTTTCACTGAACCCCTCCTGCTGCCTATGATTTTGAACATTGTTCCTTCCTCACTTTCGGGTGGATACAAATGGGCAGTAGCACGTTTCCTGCGTGCCCACTATGGGCCTGCCCTTGTGCTTGGTGTTGAGGCCAATAGAAAGACTAGAAAACCCCGTTTAGCCCTGACTGCAAGCAATTCCAATCTGTTCTATCACTTGGGGAATGCTGAGAAAGTGCTGCACATTTTATATCTTTTTTATGGCAAAGTGGGGATATGTCTCTTACTTACTTCTGTCATTCTGAATGTGAAGCCACTCCACAAGTTTCTGGTTGGCTTTATATGTCCTTGTTTCTATTTCCAGTTTATCATGAATTCAGTGTTTGGTAAGTCTCTATTGTATTTTGCACATTTATTATTCTTTGCTATTATTATTGTTGTTGTTGTTATTGTTATGCTCTCTTGATATAAAATGTATTTTATAATCATCTTTTTAAGTCGCTCTGCTACTTTGGCCTCTGCCTTCCGAAAGATAAACTGCTTTTACCATCTTTATTTAAGGTTTGTTACGCATTTGCATTGTATTGCCCCTTCCAGAGATAAATGCTGAAAGGTCGAATGGTTTAAAAGATGTTGTTTGTAACACGGATGCTCTGAGATGAGAGTCAAGTCGAAGTGGGGGAGGGTTGCTCTCGGAGTTGGTATGTGGTATGACTGGGATTGCAGAGCATTGCTCTGTGGGCTCGTTTCTCATGGGTTTTGTCCTTCAGACAGGTTTAATTCAAAAGTTTTCCTTAACAGAAGGATCAGCAGCTGCTCTGCCTCT